ATTTTAAAGTGGGACTTTAATTATTAGAATGATTCGCTCTGTTTAGGTCTATTTAATGATATTTTAAATTGTGTTGTAACCAACGCAGTGTGTATTTTTCTCGTAGAGGTGAAAGAACTAACTGAAAGAAATAACTAATTTATGACTAAAACTGTGTTGCACTATTTGAGTTTGAGTTGAACCTCACACCTGTTTTATATTGAGTTGGTTATTTTGTTTCGTTACTCGTTACTTTACATCTGTATTAGCATAACCAAGAAAAATGTGCTCAACAGGGCATTATAACCTATCGACCATAACCTAGATGGAACATGTAGAAAATTTATGTACGGCAGCAACCGTCAACATCGTAAGATAGAATAAGTATTGAAAAGAATACTACACTCATTGAACCGAAAAATCCTGTATTTCCACAAAAAATATAACAGCAAACACGACTAAACTTCAGACTTGTGGCTGACGACTGCCTCTCTGGCCTCCGCATCAAAACACTAGTGGTACCACACACGCAACATTGAAACAGACCTGTTCTCAAACTACTTTACATCTCATATGACTCAAATATTAGTAAACTACATACCCAGACATACTTTTTCAACGTTCCCCATCATTTTACTGGCCACAAAAATTAGAAAAAGAAAAGTAAAATAGTGATGTAAGATGAATCACCAGTTTTACGCTTTGGGTAGTGGCCCGACAGGATTTGGATGGCCAACAAGAACAAGGGGAAACATCAACAACTAAAGCGTCGGACTCTGTCCCATTGCAGTTCCCCCCCGTGCTGGGCAGACTGTGTGGCGATAAGGTGCAACGACATACAGTGTGTCGCCCGTATCTCAACTCTACTGCGCGGGCGACATACCCACCTGCTGAAGAACCTGTACGTGAGGATGGTCGCGATGAGGCCCAGGACGCTGAGCGCGCTGCCGAGGTAGCCGACGATGCTGAAGGGCAGCTCGAGCCCCTCCATGTCGCGGCGCGGCCACGGGTCCAGCAGCAGGGAGAAGGGCGTGAGGTGACTGGCCTCGCACACCGCGTAGCCGGCCACGCCGCCGTCCCGGTCCATGAGCAGGCGCACGCCTTCGGTCTCCCAGGTCCCGTCTGGAAGAGCGAGGGAATGAGGTTGGGTCGGGGGG